TCATGGGCTCCCCACCCCTCCCTGTGCAGTGCAGTCTCTTGTTCCTATGTTGTCCTGTTTCATACCTTTGTCGGAGCCCCCTGAAAGGTGTGCATCTTGCCTTTGCCCAACAGGCTTCCCTGGCATTTGGTCTGTAATGCAGGGATTCTTCTCAGGACAAACCCATAATCCTCTCTCTGTCTCTCACTGTACCATGCCTGCCCATTAACCCTATAACAAATCCATTCTCTTTGTCCCTGCCTTCTCTGGGCTCCAGGGCATGAGGCACAGCCATGTCAAGCCACACTGTGGCTGACAATGTTCAGGTGTCCAACGTGGCCAGGAACGTCCTTACTATGCTTCCCTATGCTGCTTTACTCTTACTTTGGAATTTTAAGTTGGTCATTTGATAATTCCTGTCCTGCCCTAAAAAACAAGATTTATAAAAGATAAGGTTTAAAACAATTGCGGTTTACTAAGATATTAAAAGCTGCATCTTTATTTTCCTGTACAAGAATGAATCTTGCTGGTAAGCCAGATTTTGTAACCTAAAGGAAACACCTTGATAGATTTAAAACACTAAAATGTTTACAATATTAGGACTTGATTCTGCCTAGAATTATGCTCTAGGTCTCAGAACTATGGCTGAAAAGTAGAGACTGAGATATTCCTCCTAATCTTTTTATCTCTACTAATACAGGTAAGCTGTAACTGACTGCATAAACTGTGTGTCCAGATTTAAGGTGCATACTGAAAGTTAAGCCTAAACAACACTTGTCTAATTTAGATCTACCTGATAGGTAATGGTACCCTGATCCTCAAGTGCCTTTACAGATCTGAGAGAATGGTATTTAATAACAACAACAAAAAAGCATTTTATGACAGGCAGACATGACAGCTTCTGGCTGCATCCTGTATCTCCAAGAAGATGGGTGGCTACAGAAGAACATCCACCTGGAGGCTTGCTTGGATGTGGGAAAGCCAAACACACAACAAAAAATTGCCTTTCACCTCAGCTGCCTAGACCCTGCCTGAACTGGACAATAGGACACTGGAGGAATTGATCGGCCCATCCTGCCAAAACAGGTAAGCCTATCTCCCCGAATTCTTGCTCCACAGAAAAGTCAGCAGCTAAAGGCAAGTACTGCTTCTGGGACTTGTGTCCCGTCCTGTCCCCCCACCCCCAAAAGACCACAGAGAGACTTGGGATTGTCTAGGTAGCTGTAAAAGTTGTCTCAATTCTGCTTATTTACTTACACCTCTCAGATCCGTCTGATGGTGTTTGATGAGATATAGGGTACCTATAGCTCATTAGTTCATTAGTTAAATTTCCTGCTAAAAGTACAGGTGTGCCTCTTTCACAGGCTTCATAGTGAGGGATTAACAAGTTGCAGATGTAACTTCAGTTCAGCGTTTTAAATTTCCTCTGGTTGTTTTAAAAAATGTTCTTGCCCTTTAAACTAAAGCCATAGCCTTTTGCTATCACGCCAAGATACAAATCTGTTTCACCTGTCTTAGAGATACTTTCAAGTTCCTGGAAGAAGTTCTGCTACTGCATCAAGAAATCTGACCTGATGACTGTCTCCAGAGCCCATATCTTGATACCACTCATTTTTTGAGCATATTTTACAGGTTCACTCCTCCTAGACCAGCTCCTGGGGCTTCACCACTGGTACCACCTCTCCAGGCTCAAACTGGCACCTAGTTTTCCAAATGTCCCAATAAAGGGCCTATATGCTCTCCTGTATCGTTCATTTACCCTTGTCTCTTCTGTTCAACAAGGACACTTCTCTGTTCCATTTCTTCTGCTATCCACGGCCAGCCCTGTTCATAGGGCTAGATGATAAAAATCTATTTATCTCCTAGAATCCTGCCTCCAATGTACGTGTACACACACACACACACACACACACACACACACACGTCTACACCACACATACAGAATAAAACAAATTATCTACGTTAAGCATTTAGTATTTCATGTTTTATCCAAGATAATTATAAGATTCCTCACCAATGTCAACAAATTTTTGTTATTGCTGTGTGTAGCCCTGGCTGTCCTCTAATTCACAGAGATCCGCCTGCCTCTGCTTCCTTAGTGCTGGGACCAAAATCATGCACCACCACTGCCCAGCTTCAACAAGATTTTTATTTAAAAAGAACTTTAGACTTGCCTTTGTTACAAACATGAATGTCTACATTGTCTACAAGAGCTAGTTCCAGGACAGGGTCTAAAGCTACACAGAGAATCTCTATCTCAGAAAATCAAAAAAAGAAAAAAACCCAACTCTCCCAAAATAAACGAACAAAAAGCATTGTTGATGGCCTTTTCATTCCCTTTCCAGTTCAGCACCTTTTATGGTTTTTCCAACTTCTTTTTTTTTTTTTTTTTTTTTTTTTTTGGTTTTTCGAGACAGGGTTTCTCTGTGGCTTTTGGAGGCTGTCCTAGAACTCGCTTGGTAGTCCAGGCTAGTCTCGAACTCACAGAGATCCGCCTGCCTCTGCCTCCAGAGTGCTGGGATTAAAGGCGTGCGCCACCAACGCCTGGCTCAACTTCTTACTTCTTAAATACCATATGTAATATGACAAAAGGCACCATCCAAGTGCTACACAGGAAGACAGTGTGAGGAGTAGATTCAAAGGATGCCACACAAGGTGGATATACATACAATCTAGGATGTTTTCACTACACAAACTTAAAATCTATAAATTTCTACAAAAGGGTTTAAAAAGCCTACTCATGTGCAAGTGCATAAGCACAGACTTTGTACACTTGTAAGGTAAAGAAGTTCCTTTCTCAAGCCCCAGTGTCTCAATTGACAAATTGGTGTGAATCATTGTTTTATTACATTTCTTTATGTAGGAAACACACACATACACACAAATTTGAGCACACACGCCCAAGTTTGTGCCAAGGCATTTGTGTAGAGGTTAGAGGACAACCTGCAGAAGTCCCTCTTCCACCATGTGAGGCCTGGGGATTGACTGAGCTTGGGTCATCAGGCTTGTTTGGAGGCAGGAGTCCCCACCACAAGGTGCCTCAGCAGAGCAGAGTTCTTTTTCCATTTAAGAATTCTAAGGACTGAGTATGATGATGGTCTTTAATCTCAGCAAGCACTTAGAAAACAAAGACAGGTGCATCTCTGTAACTTTGAAGCCAGCCTAGTCTACAGAAAACATTTCAGGCAAGCCGGGACTACATAGTGTGAGATCTTGTGTCAAAAATAAACTAACAAGACAGACAGACAGACACACACACACACTCACACACTTTAGACAATGGCTGGGCTTACTATGCAAGCATGAGGTATTTGAATTCTCAGTATCTACATAAAGCTAGATGTGGCAGCATGCTCATAAACTCAGCTCCGAGAAACCTATAGATCCTAGAGGCCTTGAAAAAATAACGTAAAGAGGTGACTGAGAAAAATACTATCCCATGTCAGTCTCTGGCTATCACAAGTAGTATTGCAAGCAGGCACACACAGATGCTGGTGGTGGTTTAGATAAGAATGGCCTCCATGGGCTCATGGATTTCAATGCCTAGTTTGCAATTGGCAGAAGTAACTGGGAAAGATTAGGATGTATGGGAAAGATTAGGAGGTATGGCCTTGTGGGAGGAGGTGTGTCACTGGTGGTAGGCTTTCTGCGTTCTCACTGTCGCTCCTCCTCCCCTCACCCCGCCCCCGCCTGCCTCCTTCTTGTGTATCAGACATAAGTTCCCAGCTACTGTTCCTGCCTGCTGCCATGATCCCAACCACAGCAGTCACAGATGCTAATCTTCTGGAGCCATGAGTCCCAAATTATATGCTTTACAAATGCCTTGGTCATAGTGTTTTGTTACAGAAACAGAAAAGTAACTAAGATTCATGTGTATGCATAACTACATATAACACATATACACACCTCATACAATTCTGGACTGAGGCTGAACTCTCTGGGAAGGCCTAATCCAAGCTTTGAACCTGGTGATCAAGGGAAGGCTCCTAACCTCTTCTCACACGAACTAACTAAGCAAACTCACTGATAATCTGTGGACTTATTCATGCTAACACACATTATAACAGTTAATTCAGACCAAACTGCCTGTATCTGCAACTTTCTTAAAGCAGTTAGTACAGGAAATGAATGGAAGACAGACATAACATACCCCATGCCAATAAACTAACTGGTGAGCAGTGCTAGATGGAAATTGGTTTTCTATCTGTATAACTCTCATTCTATAAATATTTATTGGAGTATGTTCACTAAGCCACTCCCTTGCTAAGGGTTTTCTTACCCAATGAATACAATACACAATGAAGTATTTACTATGTGGTACCTGATATTTTCATATACGGGTACACTGTTATACTTACCACAAACAACTAATTGACCTATCCCTTAATAAAACTGTTTTTTTTGTGTGTGGAGATGAGGACCTACTTTCTCCAAATTCCAAGTATATGATGCAGTACCATTACCTGCAGTCCCTGTGACGTACATCAGATCCTGAGCTTGCTCCTCTCTAGCTTTCATTTTCCTTCTATCCAAGGTACTTGGAAACTAACAAACCTCACAAAAGAGCACAATAAATTGCTTTTTCTTAATTAAGTTCTCAGGAACTAAGTCAATGTTTTATAGTATATACAGAATACCATAATTTATGATTAAATATGCCTCAACACTTATCTTTACAAGTCTGACATTCGAAGAGATGTATAGCAGATGATCAAAGATTGCTTTCCTTTATTAATACTGAATGCATGTCATTAAACAAAAACCAAACAATTGATTTGATAGCAGTTCAAATGTTAAATTCATTAATTTCTTCATTAAAAACTAAAATACCAGAGGCAGACAGATCTTTATGAGTTTGAGACCAGCCTGGTCTAGAAGAGTTAGTTCCAGGACAACCTCCAAAGCCACAGAGAAACCCTGTCTCGAAAAAACAAAACAAAAAAACCAACAACAAAAAACATGTTGAAAGGCAACCAAACTGGCTAATGGTGGCGGGTCTACAGGGGTGGGGTAAGCCTCACCTGTCGAATGATACTCTTCACACAACGTACTGGGAGGCCTTGATAGTTGGATTTTATGATCCATTTGAGGAGATGGTGGCCAAGTACTTCAAAAACCATGCATACATCTGGGAGGAGGTTAAGGAGCGTCTGAGGATGTGCTTCCCTAAGGCAGGAGGTGACCAAAAGCATCTTCATTGTATCATCACTTGCAGAATATTGTTTTCCTAATGAAATACCATACTAATAAATATTATCAAGGTGATCAGTTGCTCTTTCTCACTTAATACACAAGATGTGAATTTTTCACTAAAGACTCATCATATACTGTACATTAGTCAATGTGTATAGCAGATTACATCAGGAAATATATAATTACACGCATCTCTAAAACAGAGACAAAGAGCATGCATGATTCAGACCTACATTGGGGCATGCTATCCCCTTTCACCTCTGCACAAGTGGACAAGAATAAACCCTTATAAGATTCAGAGTGGGTGGGGGGGAGGGCACAGGAGGAGGGGAGGGAAAGGGAGAGGGCCCTGGAACTGACTTGTGAAGCAACCTTGTTTCTTATCTAAATTTAAACTGAAAAATAAATAAAAAAATATATACTCTAAAAAAAAAGATTCAGAGTGGGATTAAGTAAGAACTTACTTGCTGGCCTTACTTACTTACAGCTTCTATTTGACAGATGACATATAACAAAACATAAAATAGAAATTTGTCAAATATACTGAAGATTAACTTTTTTTTTATCAGTGACTTTCAGTTATGCAAGATGACACACACATGTAATCCCAGTACTTGGGAGGTCAGGAGTGTCAGAGGTTTGAGATTATCCTCAGCTACACAGTGAATTCAAGACAGCCTGGGCAATATAAGACAATGTCTCAATGAAAATCTGTTAATTAATTAACATATTTCAATGTACAGTCGGTGCATTTGGGGTCAGGTTACAACTGTGAGAACATCACTATCATTCAATGCCATATAGGCACCCAAATGAAATCAAGATTTCAAACAGGTACCAATAGTTCAAAGTTCACTATAGCACTACTATGAGCAGTCAAGATACAGAAATGACCTACATTTACATGTCTATCACTGTATGTATTGACAAAGAAAATGTGGTACATATATATATATATATATATATACACACAATGGAATATTACTCTATGCAAAAAAGTAGAATGTTTTTAAGCAAAAGCCCATATTTATTAGAAACTAAAATCTAAAGTTAGTGGCAGATATAGGGCCAAACCCTAGGGTTTCCAAAATAAGACTCAAATCTCCTCAAAATATTAACACATTCAGACCATGGTAGCTTCTTAGCATTTTACTTAATAGTAAAAGGAGCCGTGTGTGTGTGTGTGTGTGTGTGTGTGTGTGTCTTTTTCTCTAAAGAATTCCTCCCTCTTCCTTCTCCCTCAGGAAAAGTTCTACAGATTTAACACTCAGTGAATAGCTCTCCTGCCCTATACAGAAAGGACCCCATGGACAAGCAAGCACAGACTGTGGTACTAGTTATGTGCCCACCTGCTCGCCTATTGTTTGGGAATCATCTAGAGGCAAAGGCTGAGATAATGTCAGCAGAGTTCTGTACTTCACAGTATCCCTAAATAAAACTGCTTATTTACTTTGGTTTGGTTTGGTTTGTTGAGACTAGGTCTCATGTAACCCAAACTGGTCTCAAGCTTGCTACATAGTAAATCTGACAGTGGGCTTTTCAGCCTTCTCCTTCAGCCTCCAGAGTTCAGGGATTACAGCCATGAACCACCATGTAGGGTTTGGAATTTCTAAGAGAAATATAAAGAAAGACCTGTTACAAGAGGAGTTTTCTTCCTCCAAAACATCATGCTAGAGGAGGTGCACACACTAGATGTCATTCTTAGGCTTTAACAGAGACTTAAGACCTTGACATAAGGTTTCTGGAGTTTCAGAAGGTCAAATATGACAATAAATGTTGGATCTGCTCCAAGTAAGATGTAAAGAAAATAACAGAAGGTTGGGTGGTGGTGGCGCACGCCTTTAATCCCAACCCTCGGGAGGCAGAGGCAGGCAGATATCTGTGAGTTTGAGACCAGCCTGGTCTACAAGAGCTAGTTCCGGGACAGCCTCCAAAGCCACAGAGAAACCCTGTCTTGAGAAACCAAGCAAACAAAATACCAGATGACCTGAAAGAAGCCAGAAGACCCTGGCCATAGCATGCACTAATATTCATGAGCCATGCATGGGGTATGCAGAAAAAGTGCTACAATATTTTTCCACTGACCATTGCAAACAAAACCAGGACAACTTTTAAAAAATTAACAATAGCCAGGTAGTGGTGGCACAAGCCTTTAATCCCAGCACTCGTGAGGCTGAGGCAGGTGGATCTCTGTGAGTTTGAAACCAGCCTAGTCTACAGAGTAAGTTCTAGGACAGCCTCCAAAAGCTAGAGAAACCCTGTCTCAAAACCACCCTCCCCCCACAAAAAGACTCCAAATCAATAATAACCTAATACATTATATACACACATACATGAAAATACAACAAAATCTCATTTTGTATAATTAATAAACACTAACTTAAAAAAATAACTAACTCCATTCCAAATCAAGTCAGTATCTTTTTAACGTTTCTAGGATGCTAATACAAGCAAAAGAATCTAAATCTAAGATAGACAGACAGACAGACGAAATAAACCAAAGCCCTAGCCAAGCAGATCAGGAGAGGTGTATACTTCAACACTTTACAGTGACCCTGGACATCTCACACAGAAGGGGCACGGCAACAATGATAAGTTTACAGACACCTGAAATAACCCTATGTTTAAAAGTGAAAACAAAGAATGTGTTACAATTAAGAGATCACAAAGTAAAGGATACGTATCCCATTCATGCCTGAAATCTTGAAATCATCAATTAGCTGGACTACCATGTCTTTGTTTGGGTCACTGGGGTCACTTTCTCGAACCTATATAAGTAAAACAAAAGAACAAAGGAGTTTTCGTTTTTGATTTTTGTATTTGGCTTTCCCAAATGAAATGCTGGCTATCAGTCCAAACTAGCCTATCTCTAAGCACTCCTGCCCTTCTTCCTGAGTACTGGGATTGTAAGCGTGCAATACCATGTTCAATCACACACAAGTTTAAAATGGAGGGGCTTGAGAGATGGCTCAGCAGTTAATAATGTGCACGGTTCTTCCCAAAGATCTGAGTTCAATTCCCAGCACCCATGTCTGGCAGCTGAGCAGCCTGTAACTATAGCTCCAAAGGAGCCAACATCTGCAATGAATGAATGAATGAATGGTACTTTTTACATTATGCCAATCAACAAGGCATTTCTTTCAAGTAAAAAGACCTAGATTTGAACTTATGAAAAATTTTACTTTGATTTAGTATCACACAGAAAAATCTCTAGCCAAACCAAAGACGAGAGGTGAGTACTTAATAACTTTAAATGAGCCTACAGACCTCATACAGAGGGGCACAGCAGCAATTACAAAGTTTACAGACACCTGGAATAACACTGCTTTTAAAAGGTAAAAGCAAAAATGTGTTATAATACAGAGACCACAGAGCAAAGCATTAGTTATTTTTATATCATTCATATTTGTTGATTACTTACACATTTGAGCAATTTAATTTCATCCAAGGCTGTCTCTGTATAATGCTGGGCACTTTTTACAACTTTCATTGCAACAAATCTTTTCCCTCTTTAGAAAAAGAAAAGCATAGTTATTTATATTATCAGCAAAAGAAGTGATTGTTATAGCGATATGCAGTCAATAAATTGAAACTTTCTATAAGCTTTCCTTTAACATAGTATTTAGGTGCATTATCTGCATGCACTTGGGAGGCAGAGGCAGGCGGACCTCTGTGAGTTCAAAGCCAGCCTGGTCTACAGAGTGAGCTCCAGGACAGCCAGAGCTACACAGAGAAACCCTGTCTTGAAAACCATACATACATACATACATACACACACACACACACACACACACACACACACACACACACACACACACACACACACACGAATGAAGGAACAAACGAACGAACGGTATTTTGGGGGCCATCCAGATGGCTCAGCAGCTATTTAATTGAGAGCTCAACACATTTTCAATTTGTATTGATTTTCCTTTTTTTGATATGAACTACTAGATAAGTAACAGCTCTGATGAAAAGCAGTTTCAAAAAACAAGCTCACAAATAAAGCTCAATTAGCATTTTTTTAAATACAAGCAAAAGCAAAGGAATTTAAGACTAGGGTAGAAGGGACTAGTCAGCTGCAGGGGCCTGTGCTAAGCAGCACCTAATCTGCTACAACAAGGTAGGGTGACCCTTGACTACATCGTCTTAAAAGCAGGTGTACACAGGTAAACACAACTCAAGAGCACATAATGACAAAGAACACTTACTGCATGTCCCAGCACAGCCAGACAGTAGAAAAGTGCCCCCATCCTAGCTTCCTAATGACATGGTACCGACCATTGAAGAGGTCTCCAATTTTCACTGGATGATAGCCACCTGAAAAAAAAATAAAAAAAGAAAACTGAACATCTCAGGAAAACAGCAATGCAACTTATCACTTTGATTTTCAGTTAAATTAAATAAGAATGCTTAAATGTTTCAAGATTACTCTTGGGGGGAGTGTGTGTTCAGGACAGGATTTCTCTGTAAAGTCCTGGCTGCCCTTGAACTTGCTCTGTAGACCAGGCTGGCCTTGAATATATAGAGATCCGCTTGCCTCTGCCTCCCAAGCGTTGGAATTAAAGGCATGCACCACTACTACCTGGCTAAGGTTACACTTTTATAAGTGGAAAAATAGTCTATGAATTCCCATTAGGTTTTTTTTTATTTTAATAAAATTTGAAAAGGTAACAAACTGTGTAGAACTCCTGACAATTTGTATTTAAGTCAAAAAGTTCAGACAGATGTACATCAACTCTTGACACTGAAATGCTGCTCTCAATAAGCTCAAAATTTTCTGTGCATAACATAAAAGCAGATGAATTAGGTTTTAAACTCTACATACTTTTTAAAAAGATTTATTTATTTAATGTATATGTGGGCATTGTCTACATGCCCATCTGCATTGGATCCTGTTACAGACAACTATGAGCTATTTTATTTCTTCTTAAATAAAAAACAACATTTAGGTTAAATTATAAATAAAAGGGAACAAAAATGAACTACTAAGTAGTCATCAATGTCATTAATGTGGCTTCTTCTACTACTCTCCCTTTATGACACCCGAGAGACAACAAAAGTTCTACCTATACTATTGACAAGACTCCAAAGACAAGTCCCTTCTCCCTGCCTAGCAAAAATCCACATTTATTTATGTAAGCCAAACAGACATTCAGAAATTCATGATAAAAAAATAGTCTGGATTTTCAGGAAATTATCTTCAGCTCCTATCAGCATTATTCCTTTTTAGACTGATAATAATTTATATGCTCTGATTGTAAAAAGCTTTCAAAAGACTAAAGAAATATTATAGAATCGTCACTAACATACAAGTCTTTATTAAGAAAGGTGGAACAGGATCTAGACAGAAGGCTCAGCAGTTAAGAGCACTGGATGCTCTTGTAGAGGACCCAGGCTTAATTCCCAACACATAAATGGTGGCTCACTGCTCCCTTAACTCTAGTTCTAAGGGTTCTGAAGCTCTCTTATGGCATCCTTGCACACCAGACACCCATGTCGTACAAAGACAATACACATAAGCAAACACATATACCCACACAGAAAATAAACAAATCTCCAAAAGAAAAGAAAGGGGAGGTAGACTGATAGGGAAAAAGAAAAAAAAGAAATTCAGCATAAAATAGCAAACATACTCTGTCAGATTCAATACTTCACCCAACACCAAATCAACAAAATACAATAGTCAGAAAATCAGTAAGGCTATGATTTGAACACATTATGGATCAACCTAACTTGCTGGATACTTACAGAATGCATTCAGGAATACGTTCAAGGGGGGACAATTTGCCAAAAGAAACAACACACTGGGTCATAAAACATGTTACAATGAACACAACAGGGTTCAAATCACACAACGTCCTCAAACCAAAGAGAATTGTGCTAGAAAGCAGCAGAAGTTTAACTGTTAAAAATCCCCAAACATGACATATATCTGAAAACTTCCCAACTAACACAGTGTAAAGAAATCTGAAAGAAGCCAGGCATTGCAGCTCATGACTACAGTGGCAGCACGTGGAAGGCAGAGACTGTCCTAGTCCACAAAGCCAGTTCCAGGCCAGCCAGGGAGACCATGCCAAAGAAACAAACAAAAACATCATATACACATACAAGCCAAAAATAACACTGGGGTGGACACTCATGCCCACAATCCTAACAGTTAGGAGACTGAGGCAGGAGGTACTCCATGAGTTCAAGGCCTGCTTCTGCTACATATTAAACCACGGGCAAACCTAGGCTTTAGAATGAAACCTGGTATCAAAAATTTTAAATATAGAAATTGAAGTATGACATATCAATCTGAAAATATTTTAAAGCAGAGCACAGGTGTCTTTACATATGCCTGTATTGAAGATTGAAACCAATCTGCATAAAGAAACTAGAAAAGGCAGTGCAAATTAGCCTAAAGGAAACCAAAGAAAGAAGTCAATATGAGCTAAAATATCTTAAGTAAAAAACAATAAAAACAAAAGAAACCACTAAAACAAACAGTAGTTCCTCGAGAAAATAAAAGTGATATATTTTTGACTGGGTTAAAAAGGAAAAACAGGGTGAGGGTGTGCTTTAATCCCAGCACTCCTGAGGCAGAGACAGGCAGATCTCGAAGTTCAAGGTCAGCCTGGTCTACAGATCAATTTCCTCCAAGGCTTCAGAAAAACCCCATGGGGGGGGGAGAGGGGGTACAAAAAAAGAAGGGAACAAACCCAAGTTTGCAGAGGAAACTTGGGTGACTGTCCAGGCGGCCAGCTGTTTTTGTCGTCTCTCACATTTTTTGGAAGTTGCTTGCTTGCACTTTCTGCTTACTCAGTATTAAAGTACACATTTTGGGGGGGGGGGCGAAATTTCGAGACAGGGTTTCTCTGTGGCTTTGGAGGCTGTCCTGGGACTAGCTCTTATAGACCAGGCTTGTCTCGAACTCACAGAGATCCTCTTGCCTCTGCCTCCCGAGTGCTGGGATTAAAGGTATGTGCCACTAACGCCCAGCTAAAGTAGATATGGTAAAAGACTTTGGACTCACCAAGATAGAATAGATAATGGATTATTTTCTCTGAATTTGTCAAATGCAAATGGACTAGACATTGATGTACTTAGTACCTGTATATATTGTATATACTTATTGTAGATAGCTTTTTCATGTTATAGTCTTTTTGTATCAGACAAAGGAGAATTGTGGAGATAATTTATGATCTAATAAAACTATTGAGTATCATACTGCAAAACTAATCACAGCCATAGAAGCTAGGCCGTGGTGGCACACAAATTTAACCCCAGAACTCAGGAGACAGAGGCAGATGGATCTCTGTGAGCTCATGGTCATCCAGGGCTATATGAGAGTGACTAGACATGTATATAAGATAGGAGCAGTGCATTTAGTATTCAGTATTTAGGCAATTAATCTCCAGTCACAGTGAGGACAGGATCCCCTTTCAGCCTTGGTAGATGTGAGAACTCTCTGGTGGCTTGGCTGCTTTACCTCTCTGATCTTCAGCTTGAACCCCAATATCTGTCTCTGGGTTTTTATTATTCATGCTCCAGAACTTATCTGGAGGCTTGCTTACAGTTTCAGAGGGTTAGCCTATGGCCATCACAGCAGGGAACATGGCAGTAGGCAAGCAGGCATGGTGCTTGAGCGATACCTAAGAGCTTACTGACATCCTGATTTATACGTGTCAAGCAGGAAGCAGGAGACTAAGACTGGGCAAGCAAGGCCATACCTCCTAATCTTTCCTAAACAGTTCACCAACTGGAAACCAAATATTCTAATATGGAGGCCACTCTCAAACCACTACAAACACCAAACACATATTTCTGATTACAATTCTGAACCAAACATGAAAAGAAAATGCATTTTAAAAATCAACACATATCAGGGTTGAAAGATGGCTTAATTGTTAAGAGCACTGGTTGTTCTTCCAGAGAACTGGGGTTCAATTCCCAGCACCCACATGGCAGATCACAACATCTGTAGCTCCAGTTCTCCAGGATCTGACACCTTCATATGAATTATATATTAAAAAATGGACAGATATCAGGCTTCATATTGAAAGACTTCCTGCTTTCTCTTATCATTAGAAACAAGGTGAAAATGCCTGCTCTTAACCACAGTTATTCAATATGGTAATACCATCAAAACTCTAGCCAATTATAATCACAGAAGAGCATCAAGAGTGTATGATTCTGCCGGGTGGTGGTGATGCACGTCTTTAATCCCAACACTCGGGAGGCAGAGATAGGCTGATCTCTGTGAGTTTGAGACCAGCCTGGTCTACAAGAGCCAGTTCTAGGACAGCCTCCAAAGCCACAGAGAGACCCTGTCTCGAACCTCCCCCCCAAAAAAAAGAGTGTATTACCTGTACACATTTTCTAAACAATGAGGCTCATATTCTAGTCTGGTTCCAAGGTTTCTCTAGTGAATAAGCCTGAAAGACATCCGGATTCCTCTGGAGAATTGAGCAAGATGACTACCACTAGGACAGGAGTATCTCTTCAAAGGAGATGCTGTAGTATTGTTTAAAAGATTAGGAGGATCCCTAAGCTTGGATCTGGTTGTATGTAGTAGAAACCCACTGAGTAACCTGTTGGCTTGCCTCCACACTAGGGCTCAGTTCTGAAAAGCCAGGAGTATCACCATGAAGATGAAGCTGGCTGTGAGTAAAGTCCTTTGCCTCTGATCCAAGAATCTCAATGCTCCTGCATACACCTACATAAAACAGCAATCTGTTAAGTCTTTATGCCTAACAGGGTAAATAATAATAATAATAATAATAATAATAATAATAATAGTCTTATTACTGGCACCAGGAAATAAAATCTTTTTGTCATACAAAAATTGCTGGTTTTTCATTTTATGGAAACAGTCTTAAAACTATACTGCCTTTCTTGCTTTGATGACTAAGAAACCCAGAAACGATACTTTCCCAAATAGTACAAACTTATTAATCCTTAAATGACAGTATTATTTCACTGGTGTAACTACTTTATCTGCTACCTGCCTACTGTATTATAATATTGTATTATACTGTATACACTTTTGTAAAATTTCTCAAGTATGTAAAGTATTAGGATATGAATACCAGCTCTTTCTGCTCACAATAAATTCATGCAAAGTGTACATCTAAAAAGGATTTCTGGACTTTCCTGGCTTGAGGTAGGTTCCTTTTCTGTGCTTTCTTATGCACTCCCTCCCCAATAATGCCAGCGTATGTTCTGTGATTTCTCCCTTCTGTTTCCCAAGAGATGGGAAACCCTTAGAACAGGCAGGGGCTTTCTACAGAGATACTATCTACCCCTTAGAACAGGCAGGGGCTTTCTACAGAGAT